ATTAAATTATGGGGTCCTGGCTGTCCTGGAATTGCAGGGTAGACAAGGCTGTCCCTGAACTTACAGAGACCCTCCTATCTCTGCCTCTGAAATGCTGGGATTCAAGGAACGCACCACCATGACCATGAAACCCTGCACCTTTCCTTTAATTTTGTTATGAATCTAAAGGTACTTTGAAAAAAATAAGATTTATTACTTTTCAAAAAGAATAGTCAAAACTCACATGCCTAAAACCAAACTTGGTTTCCTACCTCCTCATGTCTCATTCCTGTCTCTTCCTGTTCTCTCTCTAGTCTGAGCTGTGCTCGGCAAAGGATGCTTTTATCTTCCGGGTGGTCAGGCCCAGCCCCCGTGTCCTCCACCTGTCTCCTGACCCCCGCCCCACCCAACACTGTTGACAGTTACACTCTGTATCATACAAGGTGTGGACACTTCTTTCCACCTACAGCTCAGTCACCCTGGTCCACATTTCCTGAACAAAGGATCCTTCTCTCACAGAGTTTTGAATTTGCTGTCCATCCCTGGCTCATCTCTTTAGACCACAGCACTGCAGGTCACATGGGTGAAGAGACTTCCTCAACCACTCAGTCTAACGATGACCCCATTACCATGTCCATCTCCATTCTTTCTGTGTTCTGATTTATAGCACCCACCATACTAAAGAGATAGATGCCAAGGTTCTTGGGCCTTGGGGCCTTGAACATCGTGTTGTGGGACATAGTCACCTGCTTTCGTTGCTAGTCATGCCGGTAAGATGTTGTTCCCAGGTGAGCCTTTCTTTAAGTCTCTAAATTACGTGAACATACGTGAAACATAGTTTTAACTTAAATTTTGCAGATGAAAAACCCATGACATCCATGCTGGTTGATTTTTATCTACTTGACACAAAAATAGACATGTCTTAATTGAGAAAATGCCTCTGTGAGATTAACAGGTAGGCACATTTGTGTGGGTATTGTCTTGATTGATGATTAATGTGGGAGGGCCGAGTTCGCCGTGGGAAGTGCCACCCTGGGCTGGTGGTCCTGGGTGCATAAGAAAGCAGGCTGAGCAAAGCCGCAGGGCAGAAACCAGCAAGCAGCACTCCTCCACAGTTTACGCTGCAGTTCCTGCCTCCAGTTTCCTGCCATGAGCTCCTGCCCTGATGTCCCTCAGTAATAAATTGTCACCTGAAAGTGAAAGCTGAAACAAACTCTTCCCTCCCCAAATGGCGCTTGGTCGTGGTGTTTATCATAGCCATAGAAACCCTAATTAAGACAAAGTCTAAAACGGGATCCCTCCCGTTATAAAGTCAGATGAGAAAATACCCCAGGCTTGCCATGTGGAGAAGCATCCTTAGAGGGTTTTTCTAAGAGGGAGATCTAGTCTCCCTGTTTCTGAGAACTCGTGTTTTTAGTTTTAATGTTGACGTGAAATGCTAATGCCTGTGTAAAATATTCCTCTGAAAAAAAATTATTTCCACAAAATAGTTTTTAAAAGTTTGTTGAATCCTCGTATAAGACAAAGAAAAAAGTTTGATATTTTTTTCTTCTTCCCCATTCCTAAAGTACAGAAGAGTAACCCAGGGATTTGCTAAGTGTCTGAGTGTTACTTTCAGGTAGGTCTGCCCACAGGTGCTCGGGTCCACTCACCTACTTCTGGAAACATGCAACTTTCCAAAAGTTCCATAACACACGTTATCAAAAACCTGGACTCCTGGCTGCCTACATTTTGGGCAAACACTTAAAGATTCTCCATCCTCTGAAATTTGGTGCCGATGGAGGTAAGTTACCCACGTTCCTCTGCTAGCCACCTTTTTCTCCGTCCCATCACCTCTCCCAGCCGTAGCACCTTCTTGAGTTTCCTGGGTACCAGCGCTTCAGCTGCAACAGAGATCAAGATACATCCCTTCTCTTCTTGTTCTGTTTTAAAATGAGATTTGATGGCAACCAGAAGCTGTCTGCTAATGTAGATGGATTGGAGGAAGGACCATCTTCGAAAGTTAAAAATAAGCTTTCTGCAAGTCAGGCTGATTTTTAGTCCTGGTAAGAAACACTTCAAAGTAAGCCAAAGTAACACTGATGGGCTCTTACAAGCTCACACGTTCTTTGCAGAGATGGACCAGATTTTCAAAGATTTATTTAATATTATCTGTGTAAATGCTTTTGGCCTCTGATTATCTTTCTCACATTAATGAGTACGAATGACTCAAACTTTTAAGACATCCTTTGCCAGATGAACCCAGTTTTTCTGGTCTTGTACACAGATATAATCCACGACTGAAATTAGGCCATGTTTGTTTACAGATCCACAACCTTCAGTGACTGGTAAGCAGAAACAAGGCCATCCAGCCTCATCAGAAAACTGGCTCACCCAATATCAAGAACGATCCAACCTCAGTACGACCTGGGGTTTGACACATTTTTTTTTTTCTCCCAGAGATGATGTTAGATTTATACAGAATCACTTTCCTGTTATTGTTGGTCCCAAGCATGACCAAGGTCAGGGTTAAAAATGCTATTTGTGTTCTTGCGTCTGCAGTTTCGCGATGCTTTTACCGCTATTATTGAAGCATCAGGTTGAAACCCCCGAAAGTGGTGTTTTTGTAGATCAAAACCGCTGAACTCTTCCCCTCTGTGAACCAACCTAATGTTCAGAATTTTCTGAAGGAGCTGTTTCGCCTTGTTTCTGAAGGTGGGATTTGTGTCGCATGCCGTAATGTTAACTGTTCTTGTTACCTACTGTTTGTCTCTTCAATTAATCGTTGCAGAAAGTTTTTGCTTGTTTTGGCTTCTTTTATTCTTTGTCTCTTGATTATTTTGTATAATTTATTCAGGACAGTCAAATGTTTCTTTTAGGCCAATGACACACTTGACAATAACGTGATTTCTCAGCCTGAATTGTCGCTAAGTTCTTAAGGAACGATATGGGATGGATACTGCCATGCCGGGCGGGTTTATGAAGCAAGGGAACGCAAGTCAGCCAGAGGACGGCTGCTGTGTACTGACTAGCTAGCTCACGGTTTTTGGAATACAAACAGTGTCTCCTGCAATCAGGCCAAGTACTTCATCAAGCACTTCATTTATGGATGTATTACCAGGGAGTCATATAAATATTCTATCCCTTCCACATGTCCCTGTATAGGAATTCCCCAGGAAATAGCTAAAATGTGAATGCATTCCAAAATGTCAACTTAAAAAAATATACACTCAGTTCTAGGTTATCCCTGGTTGGAAATTTTACCATCAAAAATGATTATTTTTTTTCTTTTCTTTTTTTCTTTTTCTTTAGATAATGGATTCATTCAACATTTGGGAAATAAACAAGTAAAAACAAATCATTTAGTCGAGTCTAAAGCTAATTTTAACTTCTGCGATAATTCTTTGTAACTGGATGTTTGAGGTAATTCTGCAGGTTTTCTTCCACATTGCAACACCATTGGAGCTCATTATATAGTAAACTCTTCACATTTATGCCAAGTTTGAAACACACACACACACACACACACACACACACACACACACACTGATTATTCTATAAAGTGAAATGTGTTTAACTCTCTTTTTGATACGGAGGCCCTTTGTGGTACCTTGAACTTCACTTTTCCTCCCTTTGTTGACCTTTGTCACTTGTGTTCACAGATTATCAGCAAAATAGCAATGATGAAAAGGTCGCTCGTCACCGATCTTAGGCTGTATGTAACCCACACCCTGCTGTATGTCACCATATAGAGTATATTTGAATGTAAGCAATACCATTTTCATTTTTGCCCCTAAAGAATTAATTTAGGAAGGCTGCTCAGGTCCCTACAGACATTGGAAAGTCTCAGCCTCTGTATAGACAGAGCAACTAGTTCTACTTGTTACATTTGAACCCCAATTGACTTAGCAGAACACAATCTTTCCTCTGATTGGAGATGGGAAACAGGGGAGAAAGTAGAGTATGGGGAAGTGGACCTTTGAGGGATCCCCACCTCTCTGCTGTTTGGTTAGGGGGCTGGCCTGTCTGGCTTGTTTCCTGTGGGAAGATGACATGTTGACACCTCACTTTAGCTCCCAGGAGAAGGTGTCTGCTGTCCGAGGACTGCTGGAGGAAAACAAAAGCTCTAGGAGCCCCACAGTGGCACCCAAGCCAGCTCAGTCTGTGATCCGCCCCGGAGCTCTGATATTGTGGCATTCCTGTCTCAAACGTTCTGTCTTTTCTCAGAGACAGAGTAAAGACGTAAAAATGTAAAGAGTGTCAGGAGATTTATGGACTGGTGTAAGTCACATTTTAGAGATTAAAATAATGTAAAAATCTGTGATGACCCAAATGTCCAAATTATAATTAGAGAAAGCTTCAATATGCGGTGATTATTTCTTTGGATCAAGGATCCTACACAGTGTGATCCTGCACATTGTGACTGTGTCTTTGGTGACCCTTAAACTGTGTTCCTGCGGTAGATCTAGCCAGCCTCTGATAATCTGTCTTTACTTTGCCCTTTGCTGTCCCAATGTCCCCCACTTTTGCTGGCTTGTCATCTGTACCGCCTCCTGGCATGGCTTCGCTATGTTCCTCCCACACTCGGTTCTCTAGGAAATCAGGGACTCTGTTCTTTAGATCTTGGGCCATAGCAGGACACGGAGTAGTGGAATAAGAAAAAGAACAATCTCCTACGGTCAGTGAGATGCAAGGCTTCACTGTTTAATTACATGGTTGGAAGCATTCTCTGGATACCTTGACCCTGGAGCCTGCTTCAAGGTCACTGCATTTCCCTATTTATAAATTGGGGATGAGAAATCAAGCAACACAAAGGTTTGCTAAATTCAGGAGACATAGAAGCATCTAAGTATAATCAAGACTGTGAAAGTCAACAGGTGGGTCAACTTTCCTCAAAAGAAAGTAAAAGACGATACTAGAAGACGTTTTCAAATGATCTATTTTGAGAAAAGTCCATAAAAGGGTGCGAGTATTTAGGCGCCTTGAGAGTTTTGTTTCTGACATCTGAGATTTCGCAAGTGTGGGAACTTCAAAGCACTTACCTTCAATGTCGCACTGGTCTGGGACTGGGACCTTTCTCACGATTTCCATGGCATAAGCCTTCACTTTACTGAGGTTTTCCTTTAAATGCAAGTAGAGTTTATCTTGGTATTCCTCAGGACTTGAGGCAGTCTCCGGAATGTCTTCCTGGACATTTTCTCTAACGGTTTCAGGCATATTCTCTGGTTCTATATGCACAATACTTGGGCGTGAAGCTGAGGAACTTTTCAGCTGCGATCTGTGGGTATCTAGCTTAAGGGGCAACTTGCTTGTTCCGAGGCTAAGTGGGTCTATCTCTGAAAGAGAGATGCTGGCTTGTATTCCTGCCCTTAATCCAGGTTCCCCATCTTCGGCTCTCATGCTGTTTGTGAGCACAGTATTCAAAGCCAAGCTCCTGGACCTATAATGAAAGGATAGAAGAGTTAAGGGAGCTCTCATTCTCTGGCGAGGAGAATGAATGTTGTGACCTTTAACACAGTTCCTAGAAACAGACATGCTAGGACAAAACTTTACCTCTTCCAGAGCGAGACCTCTTCATAGACCAGATAACTCGAGGGCCACCAAACCGTATGACAAATAAAGCTCTGAAAACACAGGGCCAGGGCTGTAGCTCACATAGCACATGCATGCTGTGAATAAGACCCTGGGCTTTATCATCAGCCCCACAGTGAAGAAAGAAGAGAATGTCTAGAATCCTCCAAAAGAAGATATAAGTCAATTTCATGGCAAAGTTCGCTGCAAAATGGTAGACTAGAAGTTTTTATTCTTTCTTGTTTTTGCCTCTGGTTATTCACTAGGGTAAGAAGTGCAGCTGGCAGGCAGTCTCAAGATTAACGTGCTTATTTTCAAAAAGTGTTGACAAAGAAGATCATATTTACCTTCTTCTATTTATAGTCCCTAAGTCAGTGGTTTTCAGTCTGTGGGTCTTGGCCCCTTTGGGATTACACAGCAGATATTTACATTATGATTCAAAATAGTAGCAAAATTACAGCTATGAAATAGCAATGAAAATAATTTATGGTGGGGGGTCACCACAACATGAGGAACTGTGTTAAAGGTCACAACATTAGGAAGGTTGAGAACCACTGTGCTAGGTAAATAGTAAGGTTACTTGAATAATGACAGCACTGTGGGTAATATTTAATTCATTACAGGATAGAACTTCAGGAAGCTATAGGTTAAAAAACCAAAGCAAAACAAAACATAAAACACCCCCAAACACCACGAGCAAAGAAGCAATAGCAAATTTGAGTTCATAGTTCAAAACGATGACTGAACAAAAGTTATACCTGCCAAATCGAATGTTTCTTTGTTCTTCCTTAGAGACGTGGCCTAAACTGTATCTCCGGACAGAACCAGGGGTATTGCCCTCGGCATTTATTTTGTCTTCAAAAGCTTGGATTTTAACTTGGAGTTTTTCATGGTTTTCCCTTGCAGGCTCCGTGGTCTTGGCTTCTCCCACTTTCTCAGGAAAGCCAACTGCAGCGTCGGTTTTTCTGCTGAAAGAACAGAGACCATGAGCTGTTTGTCATCCATACCCTTGGAAACAGAGAGACTTTGTTCCACCACCTTTATCTGGAAATGAAAACTCTGCCGGATAATTTTCTGGCTAGTTGTTTAGCAAACCTTTATTGACTATTTAGACACAGGCTTTTGATGTTCCTTCTAGACAGCCCATTTTGTCAGAAGGTTAGAAACGTTGGTGGACATGCCAACTCTGTATGAGAAATGCTTTCTGGGGGCTTGGAGAATAAAAGCAGTTTGTGCTCACATTTAGCACATTGCTTTTTCGAAACTCTAAAAATATGGTAAAAAACATCATGCCATACATTTGGTAGAATATTTACGTGTGCTGATTATTCGCTGATAGAAGTTGTTGACGATTTCTGAAAACTCATGGCTCTTTCAGTTTTAGGGCAATCATTCCCAAGGCTTTCCCTTTCAGAGTGAAATATGTCTTCTCAATTTTATTTATTTCTGTATTTGAGTGCTCTGTGTTCGTGTACATCTGCACACCAGAAGAAGGCATCGGATCCCATCATAGAGAGTTGTGAGCCACCATAGGGTTGCTGTGAATTGAACTCAGGACTTCTGGAAGAGCAAACAACACTCTTAACCACTGAGTCATCTCTCCAACTCTATCTTCTCAATTTGAAGATATAGGAAAAATGAGATTGCTTTGTTATTTTTTTCTTTTTTTAAATAAATGATATTAGTAGTTCTCTCTATATGTATATAAGGTTTATATATATACATATATATATAAAGATTCATTTGTATTTTTATTTATGTGGATATGTGCATGTATATGTGTGTGTGCCATGTGTATGGGTGCCTGTGAAGGCCAGAAGAGGGAATAAGACCCCTTTAGAACTGGAAGTACAGGTAGTTGTGGGGTGCCTAACATGAGTGCTGGGAACCAAACTTGGGTCCTCTGGAAAAGCAGCAAGCACTGTTAATTGCTGAGTCATTTCTCTAAACATATTTTATAACAGTTTATGAAACACTTTGAGGGTATTAAACCTTATCTTTTAAGGAAGAAGTCAAATGTGGTATTATTTGAGGCCCCCACGAGAGCCAAGAGTTCCTTAGACAGGATTAAGTACTGCAGAGAAGCCATAGAAAAAAATCTGTGCTATGACACTAACTGAGATGGACAATGATGACGGTCGGAGGCAGAATGTATTTCCATCTCTCGCCTGCATTCTAATATTTACATGCCCTAGGGTTACTTCAATCTTTCAAAAACATTTACTTATTTTATGTGCATGTGTTTGTATGCTCAGGAGCCCGAGCAGCCAAAAGAGGGCACTGGATTTTGGGGAACTGGAGTTACAGACAGTTGTGAGCCGCTAGGCGCTGGGGACTGAATCTTAACCACTGAACTGTCTATTTAGCTTAAGTTACTTTAATTTGAGTTACCTAACAATGATTATTGATTAAAACCCATTTCTGTTGATTCATATATTAATCATGGTCAAACAAGCTGTTTTTAGTTTCCACACTTCTGACATAAAATATGTATCTTTTCTCCATAAAAACTGATAATCCATCACCAACAGGGTGTCCTACAGGTCTATACACTTCTAATACTAACTGCCTTGAGTCAGCATCAGTCTGCACAGATCTCCACGCTTGGTTATCAGTTTCAAGTCTGTGGTCTCAGGTCAACAACACGGATTAAGTTGAGAACAAAGTCAGAGGGTTTACACACACACACACACACACACACACACCTCTTCCCCAAGGTTCAACAATTCACCAAAGGAGACTTTAGGTTCAAGAAAGTCTAAAAGGCCAAGACTTTTGATTACAGTTATCCTTAGATTAGATGCACCCTAACTCCAAGAGGCATGTATCATATACCAACGGGATAGGGTTGCCAGTAAAATACGGAACATCAGGTCAAATAAGAATTTCAGAGAAACACCAAATATTTGTAAGGAGTATTTATTATTAATATGTTGATTACATTAAATATTCATACACATTATAAAATGAAAGTATTATGTGTTTTTAACATTTTATGCCGTATTTATTTATATGTCTATGCATTTCATTATTAGTAGGTCTCATCTATATTTTTGTACATTATCACTAAAATGTAGTTCATTATATTAAAGTTATTATACTAAAAACCCTAAATCTTTTTATCTGAAATTCAATTAGATATTATGTACTTTTAAAAACTTTCACCTGGCTACTTTGCTCCCTCATGTATTCACAGGCAGGGCACAGACAACAACCCGGAAGGTTTGCGGAGTAAGAGAACAAGGAATTCCTGGGGTCTGAGGTCAGGCTGCCCTCGGGTCTACCTGATACCCAGGAGACACACACATGGGACAGCTTCGACCGACTCCTCCCTGCGGAGGGCGGAATAGGGTTATCTGTTAAATGTGAAATGCAGAGAATGACAGAACTGAAAAGTGGAAGCAAAAGTCCCCAACTTCTGACATTTTATATCTTGTCTACCAGCTCAGAGGGAACACAGCAAGGACTTCGGAAGGGACTGATGGAGAGTCAGCAAGCAATGATAAACTCTCTGACTGAAGAAACGGTCTCCGGATATGAGGCTGATGAATATTTGCTCACAGGCTGAGCTGTGACCACACAGGCTCTTCACTGTGCACAGCTTCCCTTGTTTGGGGATTTTCAGACTTGGAGTGCACAGGAGTTAAGGAACCACGAGGGGGGTGCAGGGTTGGTGAAAATAAATGGCCATGACGCTATCAAAGTCTTAAGATGGGTTAAAGGGAACTTTTGGTCACTGGCTACCACTCTACCTGGACACGCCCAATTTCACCAGGGAGCTAAGCAGGTTAGGATTCTGTAGGTTAGAATGCCAGCAAAGAGTAGCTACAAGGATTGAACTTAAAATAGCATTCCTTGCCCCTTAACTTCCTCTTTCTTTTAAGATATTAATATAAAAAAAGGGAGAGAAAAATGTCCTTAAAAAAAACAAAACAAAACACCTTTTCGGATAAGCAGTCCCCCCCCCCCCCCGCCTCCTCCCCTTTCCTTCAGCATAGGCCACTCCTCCGGTGAATGTTTCTCTGGTACGGGAGCAAATGGGCTGGTCTCTTGCAGGGGGCTCACTATTTCTTTTCCATGCGCCACTTTTAACTCCAGAGTTAATTTACAGAATGCTCTGCCAGCGTTCTGTAGTCCCTTAAATATTAACTTGGCCTTAACTCAACAAGCCACATTACAAGAGGCTCGGATGATTCCGTCTGAACTGTTTCTGGTCTCCGCTGCCAAAGTAAAGTCTTTAGAAGTCCATCTAGGGATGCCCGGGGGAGGCCTAATTGCCTCCCTCTTGTGTGTGCGGTGACTCTGCTAAGAAACAAATTGGCCCTTGGGCAGCTAGTTGTGCTCCCTCTGTGCTGGGTGATGAGACTATAAGCTGGCAGGGGTGGAGAGATTGGCGAGCTCCGTTTCTGGCCCCTTAAATCAAAGCAGAATAATATTAGGTCATGGTTGATGATCTTGGCTTTCGATCCCGTGGCCAGGACACATTCTCCGGCATAGTGAAGCTTGTGAGGGAGGAAGGAGAACTCCATGGGCTTGAGCCACACTGGAGTCCTAAGAAGGAGACCTCAGCAGGCTAGATCCACACCAGAATCCTAAATTTTGGGGATTTTATTTAGTTTACCCTTCAGCAATTTCTTGGGTCGTCATCAGTCACCAAGAAGATGACAGAGATGATCCCTGGGTAAAGGGTGGCAGAGACGATCCCTGGGCCCATCGTCCCATTGCCTGTTTAGGGACTTCAGAACCTAATGTTGTTAGAGTATGAAAGTTCAGAGGTACAGCTGGGACCTGGGAAAGTCTGTTTTTGAGCTATTTTGTGGGACGAAGTGGAGCCATGTAAACACCCAGTTATCTGGGGCTTAATATGTTGTCAAGTCTACAGGGCAGTTTCACTGAGAAGAGATGGTGCCCCAGTTGAGCTCCTTCACATTAAATCTTTAACAGAGGTTTCAGAAAGGACGCTATGGAAACACGGGACGATCATGACCTTCCGACCTTCCGAGGGAAAGGCCTAGGGGGCGTGCCGGCAGCTTCCTACTTCCTAATTAATCAAGTGCAAAGTCTCTCATTCAAAGGCACATTTTATTAAACAACAATGGGACTAATGGCTCTGGGTCACTAGGTAGCTAAAAGGGCAATATAAAATGGTGGGTTGGACAGTGTAACCCTTACGGCACTGACTTGAAAAATACTGTGGTTCAAACCCTAGGTGCTGCTGTCCACTGTGAACTTTGACGCTGGAAGGTGACCTGAGCCAGCGGTGCTAAACTTTGAAGGCAAATACCTGTTCAAAGCCAGGGAAGACTGTGAAAGCCCTCTTTCTTGGCAGTATCCTAAAGCATGTACCCCGAAGGAGAGTAAGGCTTGTGGAGTGTGAGCCTGCAGGAGCTGGCATAAGGAAACTGTGGATTTGTAAAACCTCTGAACTTCAAGAGCAAGTTCTGAAGGTCTGTCTGGTAAGCACACATTTGGAATCCCAACACTAAGGAGGCTGCCGGGGGAGTTAGAAGTCTCTCTTGGTGAGAAGAGAATTGATTCTGAACAATTGTAGACACCGAGAATTCACTGCAATCAGAAGAAAAATATTAAACTTCAATACAAAGAAATGTTCTTCTTAACATAGACGCTCAGTCATTTACACGTTCTCAGCCCTTTGGTCGATCAGGGAGAAGTAGGAAAACAGGGAACTGGAAAAAAGGGCTCTTGTATAGGCTCTTCAAGTGGGAGCCGCAGACCAGCTAGCTACTCCAAGTCTAGGAGCTCATGGGAATCACGGTGTCCTCCCCACACCAACAATGTCAGAATGATCATCGACCAATCCAAGCGCACGTTTCCACTAACCAACCCCATGCTATCTGCCGAGCATTCAGATCCATCCCTGAAAGAACAGAATTGAAAGCGGCCCAGGGCAGAAGCAGTGAGTTCTCATTAAGACCTGATGTAAGACAGCCTGTGCATCATTTGGAGT